CCACAAGATGTGTCACTAGGCCTGGATGCCATCCACAAGATGTGTCACTAGGCCTGGATGCCATCCACAAGATGTGTCACTAGGCCTGGATGCCATCCACAAGATGTGTCACTAGGCCTGGATGCCATCCACAAGAATGTGTCACTAGGCCTGGATGCCATCCACAAGATGTGTCACTAGGCCTGGATGCCATCCACAAGATGTATCACTAGGCCTGGATGCCATCCACAAGATGTGTCACTAGGCCTGGATGCCATCCACAAGATGTGTCACTAGGCCGGGATGCCATCCACAAGTTGTGTCACTAGGCCTGGGTGCCATCCACAAGAATCGAGAAACAAACAGGCACCTGTTTACTCCTGTTGAATAGTGGCAACACCTGCAAGACCACTTAACCACCATTCGTCTCTCCGGGCAATTGAACCCTCTTCCTTTTGGTTGTCAGCCGAATTCTTTACCATTTAGCTTATAAAAAGAGTCGGAAGATTCACTACAGCCTCTCGCACATTTTTTCATGCCAATGGAAAGCTAGAAATCTTAAATAGTATTAGTTCAAGACGGTACCTAAAGCAAGGTACAAGACGGTACCTTAAACGAGGTATAAGACGGTTCCTTAAGTACAAGACGGTTCCTTAATCAAGGTACAAGACGGTACCTTAAGCAAGGTACAAGACGGTACCTTAAGCAAGATACAATAAACATGATAAGCTGTTTAAGTAAGGTGCAATACAAACCATAAGAATCATAGAGCATGGTACTTTAACAAGGTACAGTGAGATGCCTTAAACAAGGTGGTACACGGTACGTTAAGCAAAGTACAATATATCTCATATTTTATCACTCGACAAGACTTGTGACGTACGACAAGTAAAGCAAGCAGCAGAATTCACAAACAAGAACAACACAAACACCCCTGAGGCTAATCAATCAGCTTCCCGGTAAACACAAAACCTGACGATATACAAGAATGCTCTCCGACTACTTCACGAGGAGGAGGCTGAAGAGAAAATTATTAAATTTCTAAATAAATGCGTGTTCAGCATTTCCAGTTAGTATTCTTGCACGTACAGCGCCAGGCAAGTGGGACTGACTCTCTCAGATAAGTTAGTGGTTCTCTCTCTCTCTCACACACACACCACAGTGTTATGACCAAGTGTACACTACCCAAATGAGTTAGTGGTTCCCTCACAGACACCCACATACACACACACACACGCGCACACACACACACACACACACACACACACACACACACACACACACATACATACATACACACACACACACACACACACGCACTTGCTATGGCAGGTAACTAAGTCTGAAAGGCTGGTCAGGTGGGGCTGGTCTATCCCAGGTCAGCTAAAGATTCATCTACTGGACAGATCGATTTTATATACAATTTCTAGTTCCAAAGATTCATTCCAGGACAGAAGACGCGTCCTCTAGGAAAACAAATTTCCCATAGAGAAAGTTTAGATCCGGAAGAATGATTTTTTTTTATTTAAGAACAAGGCTTTGCTTCAAAATTTCTTCTTTTTTTTTTACAATTTTTTATTTTAGAAGTTCCGAAAGTTTAGCTCTGCATGAGTAAACATGAGTAAACATGAGTAAACAAGAGAGAAAGTTCACCTTTGAAGAGCCAAATTTGCTTAATGAAAGACTTTGAAGTACTATTTTCATCAAGAAAATCCCACATAGGAATTAAATATTTAACAAAAAAAAAAAAAAACAGTGGAGTGTAACGCGTCTACTTGTATAGTATAATATAATACAGAAAATAGAGAGAAAAATGTTAGTTGGAGATTTGAGCACCAAAAAATAATGGTTTGAAAGATGATTTCTATAAGAGTGATAAATGCCGTGTCAGCCCACTTGACGGGGAACACTGCCTGCTTCCCTCTCAGTTCTCCTGCATCTTCCTTTATCATGTACTCTTCTAATTCTCTTTTAAATTTTTGTTTGTGTTTGGGAAGGATTGCGAGTAACGTTAGAAGTAGACAGAGAGAGAGAGAGAGAGAGAGAGAGTGAGAGAGAGAGAGAGAGAGAGAGAGAGAGAGAGAGAGAGAGAGAGAGAGAGAGCACGATTCATCTCAAGTTATGTGAACCACCTGAACTTGTAAAAGACAAGAATAAAGTTGTGGTATAGATTTGTGTTGCTGCTCTCTTTCTACCCTCGCCAGTCTTCCTTCTTGTCTCTCCCTCTCTCTCTCTCTCTCTATCTCTACTAACAGGACGCGTCCTGCAAGTGCGGAGGAAACATCAAGGAACCTCTCAACCTCCCTTTTCTCTCCTTCCAGGTTTCCGGAAGGATTGTCTTATGCGTCCAGGCATTCCCCTCTTCCCTCTCCGGCAGGAAGAAGTCTCCCATCTCCTCCGTTCCAGTTTACCGAAGAGTTGCAGTATGCGATCAGGCATCCTTTCTCACTCTTTTATCTCTATCCGCCTTCCACTCTGCCGTCTTGTTCAGCACTAACTCTCTGTCTCTCTTCCTTCGCAGGTTGCCTGAGGGGCTGGAGGATGTGTCAAGGTATCCTCACCTTTTTGCGGAGCTGCTGGCTGACCCGTCATGGTCCCTTGATGACCTGAAGCTACTGGCGGGATACAACCTCTTGCGTGTGTTGCGTGATGTGGAAAAGGTGAGAGGTAGGGAGAGAAGCAGGAGGGAAGGATGCTGGTGAGAGAGGGAGGCAGAGAGGGAAGGATGCTGGGGAGGGAGGTAAAGAGGGAAGGATGCTAGGGGAAGGAGGCAGGGAGGGAAGGATGCTGGGGGAGGGAGGTAAGAGGGAAGGATGCTGGGGATGGAGACAGACAGGGGGGGAAGGATGCTGGGAAGCTGGGAGACAGGCAGGGGGGGGAAGGATGCTGGGAAGGGAGAGAGGCACGGAAGGATGGATGGTGGGGGAGGCAGGGAGGTTGGAGGGGAGGGAGGTAGACAGGGAGGCTGGGAGTCAGGAAAGGAAGATGAGAGGTGGGAAAGAAGGGAGACAGGGAGGCGGAAAAAGAGGAAGTATTTCAGGGAAACAGAAATGAGGAAACAGAAGAGAAGTGGTAAACAGATAGATAGATAGATAGATAGATAGATAGAGAGAGAGAGAGAGAAAGAGAGAGAGAGGAAGAAATACGGAATGGGAAAAAAGAAGAGAAATGGATGAAAAAACATGGAAATTGAGATGGAGCGAGGAAGAATGAAGCAAGGTAGGGAGAGAAAAGGAAGAAAAGATGAAGAGAGGAAGAGAGGGACAATGTAACAAAGAAGATTGAAGTAGGAGGGAAGTGAGGGACGACCAAATTATTCTTTTCTTGATTAAAGGAAAAAGTGAGGGTGAAGCAGAGAGAGAGAGAGAGAGAGAGAGAGAGGAGAGAGAGAGAGAGAGAGAGAGAGAGAGACAGACAGACAGACAGACAGACAGACAGAGAAACAGACAGACAAACATATAATAAACAGTTAGAAAATATTAAAGAATCATAGGCAGACTAAATACGGAACACAACCCAAAATGACTCAACTCTGAAATTTCTAAGGATAAACTTTCCATGCAGTGACGTATACCAAAAACAATTGAAAAAGCCGGACGTCTGGTGTAAGGAGTGATTTCACAGCCGTTGTTCGCAGCTGACGCTCTGCAAATACAGTGCTGAAAGTTCAATAATGAGGCACCTGTCTGAATAGGGTATGGAAATACGATCGAGATCCGTGATACGTGTCCCATTGGATTTTCTTGTTTTCAATGGGACTTGTTATCCAAGGATTGCGGAGAGTTAGAACTCTTTTGAAAACTTAATGAGGTGACTTTGTCTTATTTGGTAACAATAACTGGAAAGATGTTGCCAGAGTTATAACTATTTAAACATTTACTGCAGAGCAATTCTTCTTATTCTGCTAACTCTTTTCATCTTAATTTCTTCTTCTGAAAATATTTATTACTAATTAATAATTACCCTAAATGTAATTTCAGACAGTTATAGTGCCAAATTAACACACAAACACACACACACACACACACACACACACACACACACACACACACACACACACACACACACACACAAACACACACACACACACATTAGGACGAAGACAACAGTCAAAGACCAGGTGATCAGGCTGAGGAAAGAAGGTGGGGAACTCACAAGAAACGATCAAGAGGTATGTGAGGAGCTCAACACGAGATTTAAGGAAGTATTTACAGTAGAGACAGGAAAGGTTCTGAGAAGACAGCACAGAGGGGAACACCAACAGGGAATATACCAACAGGTGCTGGATGACATACAAACAACGGAGGAGGAGGTGCAGAAGCTACTCAGTGACCTTGATACCTCAAAGGCGTGGGGTCCGGACATCTCGTGGGTCCTCAGAGAAGGAGCAGAGACGCTGTGCGTGCCACTAACCACAATCTTCAATACATCCCTTGAAACTGGGCAACTACCTGAGGTATGTAGTCCCCATTTTTAAGAAAGGAGACAGAAACGAGGCACTAAACTACAGACCAGTGTCACTGACGTGTATAGTACGCAGTCATGGAGAAGATTATCAAAAGGAGAGTGGTGGAGCACGGATTCATGGAACGCAAATCCTGTGTCACAAACCTTCTAGAGTTTTATAACAAGGTAGCAGAAGTAAGACACGAGAGAGAGAGGGGTGGGCTGATTGCATTTTCCTGGACTGCAGGAAGGCCTTCGACACAGTTCCTCACAAGAGATTAGTGCAGAAGCTGGAGGATCAGGCGCGTATAACAGGAAGGGCACTGCAATGGATCAGAGAATACCTGACAGAGAGGCAACAACGAGTCATGGTACGTGATGAGGTATCACAGTGGGCACCTGTGACGAGCAGGGTCCCACAGGGGTCAGTCCTGGGACCAGTGCTATTTTTGATATATGTGAATGATATGATGGAAGGAATAGACTCTGAAGTGTCCCTGTTTGCAGATGATGTGAAGTTAATGAGAAGGATTAAATCGGATGAGGATCAGGCTGGACTACAAAGAGACCTGGACAGGCTGGACACGTGGTCCAGCAACTGGCTTCTCAAATTCAACCCTACCAAATGCATTCATGCAGGTTGGGGAAGGGTAAAGAAGACCGCAGATAGAGTATAGGCTAGGTGAACAAAGGCTGCAAACCTTACTCAAGGAGAAAAATCTTGGGATGACCATAACACCGAGCACGTCTCCGGAGGCACACATCATCCAGATAACTGCTGCAGCATATGGGCGTCTGGCAAACCTGAGAGTAGCGTTCCGATACCTTAGTAAGGAATCGTTCAAGACACTGTACAATGTGTACATCAGGCCCATACTGGAGTATACAGCACCAGTTTGGAACCCACACCTGGTCAAGCACGTCAAGAAATTAGATAAAGTGCAAAGGTTTGCAACAAGGCTAGTTCCAGAGCTCAGGGGAATATCCTACGAAGAAAGGTTGAGGGAAATCGGTCTGACGACACTGGAGGACAGGTGGGTAAGGGGAGACATGATAACAACATACAAAATAATGCGTGGAATAGACAAGGTGGACAGAGACAGGATGTTCCAGAGAGGGGACACAATTAATTAATTAATTAATCCATGTTAAGCGCTAAACCCAAGTGAGTCATCCAGTGCAAGACGTGTTGGAGGCTCGATCCTCCGTCTGGTGAGCGCCAGACAGACGCGCTTCCTATTTGTACTCACCTAGATGTTCTAGAGGGGACACAGAAACGAGGGGTCACAATTGGAAGCCGAATACTCAGACGAGTCACAGGGATGCTAGGAAGTACTTCTTCAGTCACAGAGTCGTCAGGATGTGGAATAGCATAGCAAGCGATGTAGTGGAGGCAGGAACCATACATAGCTTTAAGACGAGGTATGACAAAGCTCAGGAAGGAGAGAGAGAGAGAGGACCTAGTAGCGATCAGTGAAGAGGCGGGGCCAGGAGCTGAGTATCGACCCCTGCAACCACAATTAGGTGAGTGCACACACAGACAGGCACACACACACATACACACACACACACACACACACACACACACACACACACACACACACACACACACACACACACACACACACACACACACACGTATCAGGGAGTACAAAACACGAAAACACAATCAGAAGGTACAGAGGTATTACACAGGCAAGTACTGTTGAAATGTGTCACCCGATATGAACTTTGTATCAGCACCATCACAATACACAGGTATATTTTGGTCTTTATATCTTCTCAAGGCAACTTCTGGTCTTCCGGTCTCTGTATCTCTCTTAAAGCTGTGCTGGTCCCACGCATTCTACAACACCTTACGATATGTAACGCTCTGCAACATCCTGTAGCGCTATGCAGCACCATGTAGCACTCTACTTCACTTAGTAGCAAGACACTAAAATACCTTACAGTACCATTCATCGCTCTGCAGTACGCTGCAGTACCCATTCTGTGTCCGGTAGTCATCCCCATTACTTATCCTGTGTGCGAAGATGCCCCACACTCATAATGTGAGTGGTAGGTACCCCTTACCCAACCTGTATTTGGTAGTCATGCCATACTCATCCTGTTGGCGGATGTCACTCCTACCCATCCTGTTGGAGGATGTCACTCCATACCCATCTTGTGGGCGATAGTCAAAAAAGTTACAAACGTACTTTACAGTTCTCTGAACAGAAAAGCACACAGTACAGTCAAACAGCATTACAGAGATGAACCAAGCAGGACATAATAAGAAAGGCCAACAGTAAACAAACGTTTACGAAGATCTTCATCGTCGTGATATAACTCGTTACTTCTTAGTTTTAATAAATAATTTGCTGTAATGAGGGTTAAAAACCTATCGACTAACACTAGGATCATCAAGGCTGCATCTAACTTTTTCACCAACAGACAATATTTAAATCCCTAAAATAGGGATTAAAGTAAATTCTCAGTGTATAATATACGACGAGAGAAATACATTTCTCGGTGTATACGAGTAAAATCTGTGATATGTTGACACAGAAGTATTTATGATTTTTTTTGTGAGCATTAAATTCTGGATGTGATACATGTTTACTCAACAGAATTTTAAAAACTTTATTTCTTCACTTTCATGTATTTATTTGTAAAATAAAGTTTTAATAGACTTAAAGAGAACATATTATTATTATTATTATTATTATTATTATTATTATTATTATTATATTATTATTATTATTAGCATTTTTTCTATTCTTCTAATTTTTAGTAAGTTTTACTATTATTATTATTATTATTATTATTATTATTATTATTATTATTATTATTATTGAAATTACTTAATTTATTATCAATTTTTTTTCAGAATTTCATTCAATTTATTTTTTTTTTTTATAATTTTTTGTGTTTCTCTTCTCTTGAAGATAGTTCTTACTTTTCTTTCTTAGTTGTTTCTTTCACTTCTTCACATTAACAATCTTTTCTTTAATCTCTTACCCACGAATTCTTATGTGTATCGTTTAGATTTTGCCTCCCGTTTTTCTTTTCTTTCTTTTGAGTTGGCGTTTCATGTCTTTATTTTCTTTTCGTTGTGTCCTCACCCGTCTCTTGTCTTCTGAATTTGTGTCATCCTTTTCATTTTCCTATCCATTTTTAACTTTCCCTCTTTATCTGACATTTGAAAATAAATGGTGACACCGGCAATACGTGGAAAAAAAGTCACTTATATACAGTTTGGGACACGTATGAGAGGAAACGTTTCACAAAAAGTGACTTCTTCAGTCCTAATGAGGGACTGAAGAGTTTTTTGCACCTGTTCTGTGTCATATAATTTCTTTTGTTCTCTTTTTTTTTTGTTGTTTTTTTTGCTTTTTACCTTTTCCCGTCTTCCTAGTCCATGTCTCCCTGTTTCCCCTCACGAAGGCTAAAAAGCTTATCTTCTGCAGGTTCGAGTAGCCATGAGCCAACAGAAGGTGGTGCCGTTTGAAGAGGAGGTTCCTCCGTCTCAGTTGGAGGGCTACAATGCCTGCAGTTACAAGTTTACCAAGGACACAGACGACTCCTAGCAACGTACTGGGACTACCAGCAACCATCCGTAATAACCTCGCTGAATGAAATACTAATTATGGTACACCTGAGAGTTCATTAAGGTCGGCAGGTGGCCCCCAGAACGCCATGGCTCTCCTGAGAAATTGGTAACTAGCGTTCCAGCTAGAACGGCTCGTAGTCTGTGTGTACAAGCTTACTACTACTTCGTAGTCACTAAGATAAACAGACTGACTACATCTAATAATGCCTTGGGGCTGCTATCAGCCAATCATAACAGTGTTGGTTAGATCATCTGCAGTCACAAGGCTAATTAACATGAACTTAATTGCATTCGACGAATGTTTGAAGACACAAGGTCACCAACGACCTGAATGCACCTTAAAAACGTATGCATCAGGGTATTCATCAGGAATAGAAACGTCTCCTAGAATGATCCTGAAGCTGTGGAAATCTAGAATTATAGCGTCCCATCTAGAAGGCCTTTTTTATGAGTTCCCCAAGACTTTGATAACTCCTAGTAAGGTGCTGGTTCAGACATGTAGCAGATCAAAGAGACGAGGGTGCAACTTGCTAGAATCCTCACCCACTATAAGTTTGCTAGTTACTAATAGTAACGTATTTAGAGCGTCTGAGGTAATAATAAGCGTGAGGAGGATACATCTACAAAATCTTCGTAGTCACAGTCTATAGTCTGAACATTAAAGGTTCCAGGTAATTTATTCAGGGCATTTAAATGGTGTTTTATTCGTCAAGAAACTGGAAAAGTGTCTTCATACAATGATGATGATCCCGCTCAGTGGCTAAGCATCCTCTGTATTACCGGTGCTACGTATTATTATTTATGAAATCACTAGCATGCCGGGCTATATACCAGAAGCTATGTTTCCGCTAGCTTACTGGCTCTATGTTTTTCATCTCGTTTAAGATTCAAAACAATTTGTTGACGGAGTATTATGAACTTCCGGAAGAATCACGAAGGTTCTCGCGTCGCAGAAGGTACCAAGTGCAGATAACAGCATATTCAATACTCAAATGTTGCAATCCTGGTCCGTGTTCACTACAGTAGCAGTGGGCTGACAACACTTGTATGATCTTCCTGTTTCGGGGCTTTCCTGTGCACCATATCTACTTTTAATTAGACTTAAAGTTTAATATATATATATATATATATATATATATATATATATATATATATATATATATATATATATATATATGTATGTCGTGTCGAATAGGTAAAATTGGTCATTTAGCAAGAACTTATTTAAAATTGTCCTTTCTAAAATTTTCTCTTATACGTTTAAAGATTTTTTTTCATTTATGTTAATTTAAAAATAAAAACAATTGTACCAAAAGAACCTTAGAATACTTACCTAACTTTATTATAACAAGCGTAATTTAATTCATCCTAATCCAACTAAATATATTTTAGATAAGTTTGCAATAGGTTAATAATAAACAAACACAATGTAATATTTTTTTTTCCGTTAGGCTCAGAATGATTTTTGTGAAACTATCGCATACACAAAATTTCGCTTGCCTTATTCGGCAGGAAGAGTTTTGCTATTTAAGCCAAAATCACAACTTTTACCTATTCGGCAAAGGAGATGTCATGTCTGAGGGCAATGTGTGGTGTGAAAATAATGCAGAGAACTCGTAGTTTGGAAGTTAAGAGGAGGTGCGGGATTACCATAACTATTATCCGGAGAGCTGAGGAGGGGTTGTTCAAGTGGTTCAGACATGTAGAAAAGATGGAAAAAAATAGAATGACTTCAAGAGTGTATAAATCTTTAGTGGAGGGAAGCTGGGGTAGGGATCGGCCTATGAATGGTTGGAGGGAGGGGGTAAAGGAGGTTTTGTGTGAGAAGGGCTTGGACTTCCAGCAAGCATGTATGAGCGTGTTTGATAAAAGTGAATGGAGACAAATGATTTTTAAGAGTTGATATGCTGTTGGAGTATGAGCAAGGTAACATTTATGAAGGGATTCAGGAAAACCGGCAGGCTGGACTTGAGTCCTGGAGATGGGAAGTACAGTGTCTGCACTCTGAAGGAGGGGTGTTAATGTTGCAGTTTAAAAACTGTAGTTTAAGCGCGCCTCTGGCAAGACATTGATGGAGTGAATGATGAAAGTTTTTCTTTTCCGGGCCACCCTGCCTTGGTGGGAGACGGCCGATGTGTTAATATATATATATATATATATATATATATATATATATTATATATATATATATATAATATATATATATATATATATATATAATCTGTTCTTTTTTACTGAATTTTAGACTTTTCCTTGCGGTTTCCAGGGTAAACAGTGTGATAACATTGCAGCATAGAGAAATAACTAATACTACTATACTTTAAAAAACATAATAAATATATATTCTTAAATAAGAGTCATTTATGATGAAAGTTCCATACTGCTACGAAAGGGTGTGAGGAAATAAGGAATAGTTTTAGAGCAGGTTAGAAATCTGTGTTGTTTGAGGACATTGGTAACGACCTGTGAAATCTACTTTAGAAAAACAAGTGTCGATGCATAACGTATTGTCAGCACAGAAAATTCTAAATAATTGCAAATGACATTTTAGCAACCTTGTGTATTGGCGATAGCAAAATGCAGAGATTTCTCGAGAAAATTTTGTAATGTTGATTGACGTAGTAAACATCGTGATTCCTTTTTTTATTTATTTACAATAAACGTTGTTAACATTCTGAAGGAAAAAAAAATGTTTGATACAGGCATTGTGAACATCCCGAAGAACCTCAGTTTGTAATAGATGCTGTAAACGATTTAAAATGAATGTGTCAGTGTACTGTACGGCAGTGATGTTCATCTCTGTCCAGAGTGGCTCCTTCTCTGGCTCGCAGAGGATAAAAAAAATTCTGAGAATTTTCACCTAGGCAGATATTGCAGTGCATAGTGGGTTAATTGTCCACTTTATAGGGTCGGGTGAATCCCATCCTATCATAGTCTAACGCACAAAATAAAAAAAAAACATATACAAAGGTTAACAAGTGTGGTGCATCAGTGTATGTGGTGTGACTGGAAGAAAGTCCAGTAATGATTCTTTAAAAGATTATTTAATTATTAACCAAAACTCACATCGAAGGTAAGATTATTCATGACAAGAGTCCTGGGTTCTGTGTGAGGGATCATTGTTGTACACAAGAAAAAATGTATTTTGCATAAAAGTCTCAAAAATTTATCATTGTTTTTCCTTCCACCAGATTAAAATCAGTTTAATTATGTTGCATGCCTCAAAGAATGTACTTTTATTGGTATATTACATACGAAATGTGTCCCCATTTTGCTACTTGGGTTATTGCTGTACAGGCTTCAGCACGGTAGGTACACGCCTTTTGTGTGTGAGATCCCAGACCTGTGCTAGACACTGCTGCAACAGCTCTTTAAGATAGTGTTGGGTGTGCACAATGGTCCTGTACGTTACATGTAAAGGAACAAGGATTTTTTCTTTAGGAAAAAAAGCGTACGAGAAAAGATTTTGACTAGAGCACAATTTCCAAGTATTGTTTTTATTTACGATAAACAATATCATCAACGACTCATAGCTAGGTTTTAACTGTCCGACGGAAATACGAAGCACCTAGTCGACGATCCATTTTTCCCCTAATTATCAGTCATATTCAACTTTTCCTGAAGAGAATATGCACAACTATCTTGCTAATAAATATGGAACTCTCTGAAGATATCACTTTCTTTTAGTTACACAGTCTAGTAAACCATTGGCAGAGTTTCCAACTAACTTTTGTAACTAATAAAATAAGAAGTAAAAATATATGGACTCATGAGGTAGAAATGAGTACGTCACCCTAGGCGTCTGCTGTATTATATAAAAAACAAAACAAGAAGGTAATGTAATGTTATAACATAAACACAAATGATGACTTCCAAGTAGGAAAACAAAAGTCTTTTTGTGATTACGAACGACCACCTAAATCTCAGTTTTTGTTAAGTTCTCTGATTCCAGGAATACAAACACAGGTTATTTGCGCTCCTAACTCATTACTGCGATATAGACTTTGTTTCTTTACATCCCAATCATACTGTTTCCGATTCAGTCGCATTCGAAGCCACAGTAATCACGTTCTGCAGGTGGAAGCTGCAGCAGTCTTGTAAATCCTTCACTGCGGCATTTGTTTTGTATGTATTGAATGTTGTAACATTCAGGTATAAACTCAAGGTCTTCTGACAATGTTTGGGTCATCTACCTGCAGTTGTTGGCACATTAAGGCTCGCTGCCCTTGTCAGTTGCGTGCTGTCGCAATCCCGTCGTTAGGCAGACTACCGGCCGCTTGTTACTCGTTGTTTATGTGGGTTGTGAAGAGCTTAAGCACCTGAAGTGTTGCTGGTTGTTGCTGTTGTAGGGTGGACACACCTAGTTAGGACGGAGATGCTGCTGCTGTTGCTGCTCCTGCTGTTGTTGATGTTGTTGCTGCTGCTGATACTGCTGCTGCCGCTGATACTACTGTTATTGCTGCTGCTGCTGCAGTGCTGTTTCTGCTGCAATGCTGTTACTGCTGCGATGCTATTGCTGTTGCTGCCACTGCAGCGGTGGCGTCTGCTGCTGCTACGGCTGGTGGTGAAGGTGGTAGTGTTATTTCTGGTGTTTCCGCTGCTGCATATTCTGTTGATGCATGTACTGCTGCTTCTGCTGTTTATGATGATACTTCTACAAGTGGTGCTTCTACTGCTGCTGTTGTTGCTGCTGCTCCTGCTCCTGATGCTTCTATTTTTATTGACGCTGCTGATCATGTTGCTGCTGCTATAGTGGTGGTGCTTCTACTGATGGTGGTCCTACTGACGCTGCTTGTGCAACTACTGCTTCTGTTTATCTTTTTATTTGCTGCTGTGTCTATTACTGCTGTTGCTGCAGCTCCAGCAGACTGCTGGACTCAGTGGCTACCACACTATTGCTTAGTATTTGCATTTCTTATGGATTTTTCTGTATATGTCGAAAGCGTGAATATCAAAATGGTATACAATACCGACAGGTTGGTAGGTAAGACACATAGGCAACAGTTAGGCAACTTTATTCCGAAACGTTTCGCCTACACAGTAGGCTTCTTCAGTCGAGTACAGAAAGTAGGCAGGAGCAGTAGAGATGTGAAGACTATGTAATCAGTCCATCACCCTTGAAGTCTACTCTGCACCTCTCCTTCCGACAGTATTTAAGTCTCAACACTGTCGCTTGATCTTCAGTTAGTTCCAGACTTTGGAACAGAACTTCTCCAGGCTGAGGGACTGACAACCTCAAATCTGCGACTTCAAGGGTGATGGACTGATTACATCGTCTTCACATCTCTACTGCTCCTGCCTACTTTCTGTACTCGACTGAAGAAGCCTACTGTGTAGGCGAAGCGTTTCGGAATAAAGTTGCCTATTTGTTGCCTATATGTCTTACCTACCATATGTCGACAGCCTTCCTGTGTTCTTTAAGTCCACTACCTGACCTACCTTCATGGACAGCAGGAAGACAGCTATTGTACAACATGACGGGCAGCCACCGACAAATTTAATTTTGCTCTACCTTCTTCGAGGATACCGTCCCATCTACTTCTGTTCATTCCTCATTTGATCAACGTTTGGAACATGGTCCGACAAGAAGCAAAATATTTGAGAAGCGGGTCTCTGGCAGACAGATGACTCCACCCTCACCCTTTGTAGGAATCATTCACTGACCATATTGGTAAACTTTAAAAATGACACACATTCAACAGTAAGAAAATAATGATAAGATTTTCTATGTACTTAGAGACCTTCTTCAGGAGCCTGAAGTGTCTCTGAAGTTGGACCGAAAATATTTCGTGGTTAGTTTTTAAAATTAACTTAGTTAACAGGTCTTAACGTGTCTAACCCATGATACAAACTAGTACGTTTATGTTGGACATTCACATGTTAGTAAAAATATAACAAAAACAGAGGATAAAGAATAGAGACAACGAAGGAGCCGAGAGAGAATAAGGAAGATGTGAGAGAATGGAGGAGAACAGACGAGGGGCTTTGGAGGTAATACGGATTTAGCGAGACCCGCCGACAGGGTGATAACCAGATTTTGGGTTGAATCCTCTTATCCAGGGCACAGGTCGTCAACCCAGAAGCATAGCAGAATTATAC